TGTTTCTGCATCAAGAACAAATGTGAATATATTTTATCTTTAAAAATACAGCAATCACCATCCTCAGTTCCCAGGAATGCTTTTAAAACAAGATATTATAGATCACAGTGGTAAAGACTTCCCTGTCTATATTATATTATATTATATTATATTATATTATATTATATTTGGTGCCTTGTTTGTTGAGACTGGAGTCTAGTCAGTAAATGTAAGGGAAAAAATGCCTTGGGTCAGGGATCGCACAAGAGAGGTCAAGAAGAGAGTCCAGGCAGGATGGAGCGGGTGGAGATGAGTGTGACGGGTGATTAGTGACAGAAGGGTAACAAGTGGTTTAGAGACAAAGTTAGAGAGGTAAGGCTGAGATGGTTTGGGTTTGCAGAGGAGCAATAGTGGATTTATTAGATGGGGGATGTTGAATATAGGGGAAGAGGAAAAGAACAGAGGAGATTCATGGATGTAATGAAGGACACCACGCGGATGGTTGGTGTGACAGAGGAGGATGCTAGTGATAGCGTGAGATGGACATGATCTGCTCTCGTTATCTCTGTATTACACATATTTACTTTTTTTTAAACCACAAGTGTAAACCCACAAGTTGTGGTTGTAGGAGCAGCAAAGCATCAGATAGCTTTTTAACTTTGTATAACATGTCATGTCTAAACTTCTTGAGACATTTTATGCGAAAAGTAACGAAACACATCATCACTGTCTGCATCGTACCTGCACAGCCTTCCTCTCATTGAGCATGCTGCTAATGCTGATGTATTTGTCCTGCACAGCAGTGAAAAACATTATTCTAAAATGTCAGCAGACACATGCTGAGTTCAGCTGTACAGTGTCTTTAGATATGAACCCTTTAAGATGGGGTGTGGTGCTTTGCTGCTTTTTGTAACACCAACTTATTTAGTCAAGTCCTCTGGGGCAAGGCAGCAATCCAGCATATGTTTCCTCTTCAGGGACCATTGTCATTAATATATCCTGACAGCTGCCTCCTCCCCTCCTCTCAGTGCACCTGTTTGTTCCTGAATATATGGCACCATGTGAGATTCTTTACATGCCTACGTATTGTTAGATGTCTTATTTAACTACACACAGGGAACAGTCTGGTATTGTATGAGTCTTAGTTCCCTACACTTTGTTTTTTAAGTCTCTTTTTCATTCTTATTGCTTAAATATCAACTGACACAGCCAAGCACGGTGTGTTTCTGTAACATTTTGCTCCAAATAACTTTAAAATCTTTCAAATCAAGCTTGAACTCTGCTCCAAAATCACTGCATCGATATTAGTATATTGAAGTCACCAAGAAATCGCCACACCAACCACTGAACAGCTCTCTGTCAGTGTGCCACACAAATTTCAGTCATTATCCCATCAAAATCACAGTATTTCTGACCACAGATAAAACCCTTTAAAAACAACCAGCCACACAATATTTCATTGAGAGGATACATGTCTTCAACACCTAAAAACCAAAAAAAAAAAAAAAAAAGTACACACTCATCTGGTACTAAAACAGTTTCGAGTTCCCATCTTTTGTTAACTGTAATTAGAAGCGGTTTTACCCGGATTAGGTCCACTTCTGCAGCAAACCTACATCAGTCCTCGTCTCCCACGAACGCCTCGTCTGTTCTGTGTCTCCTAAGTTCAACTTATGCCCAACAAGCTCATGAGCTCTGCTGAATAAATCCAACATGATGTTTTAAATTGACAATAATTCAAACTCCTTTGCCAAACACTGATCCACTGACATCATATCTAATTCGGATGGTGTATTTCTCCTTAAGCCACATAACAAGGCACAATGCCAGGTGGATGGAAGGTATCACTTTTCCAAACAAGACTAGTAAGAGTTGCTGGGTAGGACGTCTAATTTACTGAATCATAGAAGCATCAACAACCTCTATCCGGAGGTTTTAGTGTCAGCGACAGATCTCAGCCTACTGTTTGATATCCTCTCTAAATGAAGTTAGAAAAAATCACCATGATTAGTTTCCAAGCAGCTTAACTCTTGGATTACTTTTCTGGTTCTCATCCAGTCCCCTGAAAATTATTGGTGCGATCCTAAACAGCTGACAGAACTTTTTCTGCATCAGATAACAGAGGAACTGCTCAGTGGCTCAACTGAAGTTATTATACAGCAGCATCACCACGGTCTAAAAAGAGTACACAATGCCTGAATCCACAGAAGACTGTGACAAAAATAGAAAATCAGTACACCAATTTCAATCCAAGGTTGTTTTTTGTTGTTGTTTTTTGGATGTCATAAAAAATCATCTGTTGCTTACTAGAGTCTAAAATGATTTAAATACAACCTTGGATGAATAACACACAACATATTATACTGTGTGAATATTAACAAATCTAAGCCAAAATACAAATTTCAAGTCTTGCTGCTTCTGTAAGATTCAAGAGGGTAAGCAGCAGCAATTGTAATAAAAATAACCATCTAGACCAGCTGTTGTGTTAACACAATAGGAGAAAAGCAGTGATCTTAAAGGAGCAGCTGTTGCTGTCTATCAGTCCAGAGAGGCTTACAAGCCCGAGTCCATCACTCTACAGTGAGCTGTGCAGAAATGAACCTCAGTGTACTTACACATAGAGGAGTGGAAAGAGGAATGGGGCAAAAGTCCTGCACAATGATGTGAGAGACCAATTAAAAAGTCATAAAGAAAATCATGACTTCAGGTTTCTGCTACTGAACTGGGTTCAACTTTGATTTTTACACACTGCTTAATCATTTTTGATTAGCTTTGTTTAAATAATCAGTGACATGGTGTCATTATTTATTTATTATTTATCTGAGGTTTAATTTAATTATTGTAGAACCTGGTGAGGACCTTTTAAACCTTAGAAATGCAAACAGGTGTATTTTGCTTTGTTTGTTCCACTTTTTTCTATTTCTAATTATATCTGTCATTTTGAAATTTGATACCAGCGACATGTCTCTAAAAAGATGAGGTAGGGGCATTAGTGCACATAACATGGGTAACTTGCACATCAGTGAAAGGCCCATTGATACCCTGTCATATGTAATACATCTCTATTAGGTGGTGCAGGTGTTATAAAATGAAATGTATGAGATGGGAGGTGTTACCTTTACTTACTGTTTCTGCATCAAGAACAAATGTGAATATATTTTATCTTTAAAAATACAGCAATCACCATCCTCAGTTCCCAGGAATGCTTTTAAAACAAGATATTATAGATCACAGTGGTAAAGACTTCCCTGTCCCATGTTTTTAACTTGCTGCAATCAAAATCAGCACAGCTTGCCAATTTCAGCTGTTAATATGTTGTTTTTGCGCCAAGATTTTAATAATTTGCAAAGCACTTTGTTCATTTTAGTAACATTTTGTAACTTTTTGCACATCTCCTTGATAAGAGATTATAAAGAGCTGGAGTGTGAAAATCTTTGCGTTATAATAGTGTGCTGAAGTGTGAGGGTCACCCAACGAAAATAACAAATGAGCGAAGAAAAAGTACCAATCAGAGCTGAAGTGAAAAATATCAATAGCATTTAATCACCAAAGATATAAACATTTAAATATCCATTTTGTAATGTGGCTGACAAAATCTTTACAAAGTTAAGCCTTCGTCTTCTGCTGACTGCTTCACGTTGTCTGTACAAAAATGAGGTGGCGCAGGAGACTGGCACAAAGAGAGAAAACTGTCCCAAGTAAACAACAACGTCGGCAAAATGAAAAGCAAAGTTACAGCAAAAAACATGGACATTCTTCTTGTTTGACAAATTAAAGGACACAGACGTACGGGATATAACGATAACTTTGTCCTATTTCGCTCTTTGTCTTGTAAACTGCACCTTGTGCCTGCGCAACCTCCAAACATATTCACTTCCTTTCTGATCAACGCAAATATCATTCACGTTGCTCAAATAAACAAACGAATGAACAAATAAATTTACATTGAAATAAACAAATAAGAAACACTTAAACATATTTCATAAACAAAGCCTAGTAATAAAGGGGCGTCCCCACACATGCCACAGCCTTATTTGTTATGCAGCACGAGTCACTTCCAGTGTTTTTACATCAGTTTTTGCTGAATAAACAAATAAAGTTCAACCAGGCAGTATGCTGCTCATAAATCTTAGCTGTGCTTTAACTTCCTGCAAAAGGCTTAAACTACAAACGCTAAGTCACTGTAGGCTTCACTGAAGTCAAACTTTCAGCTTCGTTCCTTTACAGGCAGCAAAGAGCTCAGCAACCTCCACTTTACCCAAAATATCCACATTGGGGCACAATCGCGCCACCGTCCCCGACAGAGCTGAAGATCCAGATGCAGACAGGAATGTAAAATATCCATCAGACTATATACACAAATCTGTTCAAAATATCATGCAAATAAATACCAGTAAATTTAAAACGAAACTACAACACTGACCTCAACAGCAGGAATATATTGTACTGTAGGGTACAAAGAGTTCCACAAAAGTTCTTCCCTCAAAGTACAACAGTGTTGTTTCAAAGACGCAAAACGACCTAAAGGAAATACTGCAGGTCTCAGAGGAACAGCTGTTTCCTGTTTTGGGTCTTCTTTTGAAAGCAGCATTTTTTTTTTATTTTTTTTTTTTTTTTGAGGTTTTCAACCAATGTTGAGCTTGAATCTGCTTCTCCAGGTCCCCACCATGCTTGGGTACAGCAGAGATGCACAACAGTAGGTATACTGTACATTAACATTCACTCATTTCAGTCAGTCACAACTGAAAAGTTTCCAACAGGCATCAAATATAGAATATAGTGTGGTGCAGATGGGTCAAAGTAGAAATCCATGTAAATGGACAGTGTCTGTGCCCGGCTGGACCACAGTGTGGAGATCAGACGACACACGCCAGAAGGGCGGCCCGGTTTGTTGGTGTAGATTTGACAAACGTGTCCATGAGAAGGCAGGAAAAGGAGGCCGACTCTTCTGTTGTGCACTTTCACGACTGCGCTCCTCTAAAAATATTTTCCTTTAAAAGTTCTATGGGAGCATATTTTTGTTTTGTTTTTCACATTCCCTGACCGGAAAGTCCTCTCAAAGCTAAACCACGGCAACCCTTGAAATTCAAGTGCGTCTTTCACATGGCCTGCACGGTGAATTTCCACATCTACGATGCGAATGTTCCTGACATCTAAAATGACGAGTGCAACAAGGCACTGCGGGGTGGAACACCAGGCAGACGAAGAGAGAAAATGCATTTTTACAAACATTATTTAAAAAAAACAAAACACATTTTTAAAAAATACCCCTTAACTCTGCAACCAGATCAAATAATTACAGACAAAGACGGTCAAGAATGAATCACTGCGGAAAAACGGATTTCTTCATTTAATCATGCATGCAGCGAGCGCTCATGAATCACAAGTAGCACCAGTTTTAGGTTCCTATCTTTCACTTTCTTCAAAAGAAATCAAAATATGTTCTTTCTACTGGTGCTACCCGGGGGATGTTAGAGCTTCACTAAGCAGAGTGTGACT